TTTAAGCCACCGGGTCCAGGAAGCGAACCGCGGTCGACTACGTGGGAGTTCAGCGACATAGCCATTACGCTAACTGCTGGTTCCCCTAAGTGACTTTTTTTTTGAGAGTTGTTGCTATAGGGCATGTGCACTCACCAGACAGAAGGACAGAAAGCAAGAAAGTGAGAAATCACCCCCCAGGGGGGATCGCCACGCCGCAATCCCTTCTCCTCCATTCTCCTCTTGGGGTTTTAGGCATGCACACACATGTGCCCAGCTTGAGTTTTAAGCCACTGGGTCCAGGACTTGAACCATGGTCAATCACCTGGGAATCCAGCGATGTAACCATTATGCCATTTACTAGCCCCTTAAATGACATTTTTAAAAAATGAGTAGGTTTGAGTTGGCAAGTGGCATGATGGTTAAGGCACTGGACTCCCACATAGCTGACTGCGGTTCAAGTCCTGGACCTGGGGGCTTGTTTTCTCACCTTCCCTCTCTCTGGTCAAATTAAAAAAATAATAATAAATCAAATTAAATAATGATTTTTAAAAAAAGTAGGTCAAAGAGAACTGACCATTAAAGACGAAAGTTCAGGGCCAGCTCCATGGCACAGGGCTATACTACTCAGAGAAGCTGGATCCCACATAGAAATCACCAGTACTCAGTCAGGATCCAATGAGATGTGAAATTCACATCCAACATAAATGGCAAAAGACCACACTGCCTGTAGAAATGTTTGGAAAGGTTTTTTGTTTTTGTTTTTTTTTTTTTGCTATAAGGCGCATGCACTCACTAGAAAGACAGAGACAGACAGAAAGTGAGAAATCATCCCCCAGGTGGGACGACCACACCATAATCCCTTCTCCATTCTCCTCTCGGGATCTTGGGCATGTACACACACCCAGAGTGAGTTTAAGCCACTGGGTCCGGGACTTGAACTGTGGTCAACTACATGGGAGTCCAGCAACATATCCATTACGCCAACTGCTGGTCCCGGTAATGTTAAGACTTAAGAGACCGTGTGTGTGTAGCTACAGGGACGGTTTGAAGGTAACTTACCCACATACATGTGTAAAGGCATGCAGAGGTCCCAGAAAAAGTACAACAGAAAACCACATTCAAAGAACTCTCAGCCACCCCACAATGCAAGGGTTAACTGCTGTGCAGAAGAAACCAGATCCCACATGGCTGTCTAGAGTTCCAGTTCTGGTCCTTCAGCTTGAAAACCACACTGGGCATGTGCATGTTACAAAAAAGTTGTAAAATTAATGTTGATTGGGAACCAGCAGTTAGCGTAATGGCTATGTCACTGGACTCCCACGTAGTCGACTGCGGTTCGTGTCCCGGGCCCAGTGGCTTAAAACCCACGCCGGGCGCGTGTGGATGCGTGTCCAAGATCCCGAGAGGAGAATGGAGGAGAAAGGATTGCCGCGTGACCATCCCCCCTGGGGGGTGATTTCTCGCTTTCTGTCTCTATGTCTGTCTGTCTGTCTGGCGAGCACACGCGCCCTACAGTGAAAATCTCTCAAAAAAAATAAATAAATAATGTTGATTCAGTGCATCATAATTTAAAATACAAGAAACACTGAAAATGTGTTTTGGGGCAGTTTGAAAAGTGCCTGCCTTCTTTTTCTTGCATAACATCAAAATGGAGCAAGCATCTTTTCTATGGCATGATGAATTTTCCATACTCCTTTCAAAGTTTGGATCACATTCCAACATTTTATTCTTTGCACTTTTCTTTTTTTGGCCACCTCCACATTCACTTTGCACTTTTATTTTAAAAGAATTATTTTATTGAACTTTATTTATTTATTTTAATTTGACTAGAGAAGAACAGAGAGAGAGAGGGAAAGTAAGAAAGCAAGCCACCAGATCCAAGACTAGAACCAGCTGGACATGTGGGAGTCCAGCGCTCTTAACCACCACACTACTTGCTGCCCCCCCAATACACTTTCAACGTTGTGAAATATCTTTAAGAGGTTTGTTGTTGTTGTTTTTAATGTCATAGGGTGTGCGTGAGTACACATGTGAGAAAGCATCCCCAGGTGAGTCATGGTCACACAATCCTCTTTCCTCCAGTTCTCCATACCATTAGGATCCTGGGCTCTGCTTGAGCTTTGGAAGGGTTTTTTTTTTTGTTTTGAAAGATTTTTGCTATAGGACACAAGCACTCACTGGAGGGACAGGAAGCAAGAAATCACCCACCAGGGGAATGGCCATGCCACAGTTCCTTCTCCTCTCAGGATTTTGGGCATGTACACACATGCACCTGGCACGAGTTTTAAGCCACTGAGTCCAGTGCTCAAACTGCAGATGACCATGTGGAAGTCTGGTGCCTTAACCCTTATGCCACCTACTGGCCCTTGGGAGGTCATTTTTATGATCATTTTAGTACCATGTAAAGCAAGGACTTCCTGTATATGTACAAATCCTTATCTGTGTTTGTGTAGGTCATTTCATTTTCAATATAATTTTTCAAGATAGAAATCCTTACCATAAATACTAAATGGTCTCTAATAGCTATCTTTAAGAAAAGATTGATTTTATTATTATTTAAATTTGCTATAGGACAGATGAGCTCACCAGAGAGAGAGAGGGAAAGAGAGAAAGAAAAGGCAACCCATCACATTCGGGACTCAAATCATGGTTGGTCATGTGGGAGACCAGCAGTCCAGCACCTTTAACCACCATGTTCCCTGCACCTTTAACTACTATGCTACCTGCATCTTTAGCTACCTGCTATCTGCTGGCTCCCTAATAGCTATCTTTTTTTTTTTTTTTTTTGGGGGGGGAGAGGTTTTTGCTATAGGGTGCGTGTGCTCACCAGAAAGACAGAGAGAGACAGAGAGACAGAAAGCAAGAAATCACCCCCTGGGGGAATGGCCACGCCACAATCCCTTCTCCTTCATTCTCCTCTTAGGATGTCAGGCATGCACACACACGCGCTCATCCTGAGTTTAAGCCACCAGGTCAGGGACTCAAACCATGCATGGTCAACCATATGGGACTCCAGTGACATAGCCATTACGCCAACTGCTGGTCCCCCAATAGCTATCTTAATAGGGAATTATAAAATCTCTTCCATATAAGGAAATAAATGCTTATGTTTTGTTTTAAGAACCACATCTGCTATTTCCACCCACTTTCAAAAGACAGAAAGTACAAGTTGAACATCCCTAACCTAACAATCTGAAATCCAAAATTCGAAACTTTTTAACCAGTATGATGTCACAAGTACAAAATGGCACTTACATGAGAAGTCACAAATGTATTAAAATATTGTGGCCCAGCCAGGGTGATGCGGGCAATAGGGCACTACTGCACTGGAGCCATATGGGGAGCTAGGTTGACCTAAATGTGCTGGGTATGTCTACAGGTACATACGCAGTGGCAGGCTGGATGGTTGAGAGTATCAGCATGGCGAGACCCTGTTGAGGATGTCTTTCATTCTCTCTCACATAAAATAAACTTTTAGAAAAATAAAAATTTTGTGGGGCCAGCAGGTAATATGGTGGTCAAGGCTCTGGACTCCCACATGGCCAACCATGGTTTGAGTCCTGGACCTGGTAGTTTAAAACTCACACAGGATGCCTTATGCCAAGCACACGTGTGTGCGTGCCCGGGATCCAGAGAGGAGAATGGAAGAGAAGGGATTGCAGTGTGGCCATGCCCCCTGGCAGGTGATTTCTCACTTTCTCTCTGTTTCTCCAGTGAGTACACATACCCTATAGCAAAAATCTTTCTTTAAAAAAAAAAAAGTTAAAATATTGGGGACCAGCAGGTGGCATACTGGTTGGTTGAGGCGCTGGACTCCCACATGGCCAATCATAGTTCAAGCCCTGGACCTGGTGGCTTGCTTTCTCACTTTCTCTGTCTTTCTGTCTCTGGTCAAATTAAAAACTAAAAATAATAAATTAAATAATCTTTAAAAAATTAAAATACAGTATAAAACTACCTTCAGGGTAAGTATATAAGATAGAAACAAAACATAAATGAATTTCATGTTTAGACTTAAGTCTCATCCCCAAAATATCTCATTATGTATATGCAAATATTCCAAAATCTGGGGAAAAATAATCCCAAATCCATAACACTCTAGTCCTGACCATTTCTGATAAATATTCAACTTGTACTACACCTAATCATTTAAGCTAATAAAATTAACTCTTTTACTTGAAAACTAGTTGTCTTAAATACAATATAAATCCATCTGATTCTTTTAAACAGTTAATACACGTGGTTCCAAACAAGTATATAACAGAATCACTTCAAAGGTTTGTTTAAAAAAGATTGCTGGACTGGCCCACACAGCTCAGTGATTAAGCCCTAGGTATAGGGGGCCAGATCCCCCTTGGCTGTTTACTGTTCAAATCCTAGTTCCAGTGGCTTGAAAAATACACCAGGCACGTATGCATCCATGCCCAAAATCCTGACAGGATGGAGAAATGGAAGAAAAAATGGTTATGGCATGACCATGCCCCATTGGAGGGTGCTTTCTCTCTGGTAAGCACATGCGCCTGCTGGCAATTCAAAAGCAAGACAAACAAATAAAAACAGATTCCTGCCTCCACCCTTCCCAGAATTTGTCTTTTATTTGGATGGGCAACTGGGAATTCCTGAGAATTCAGTCCCCAGGTGATTTTTATGCTTCTGATCTGGAAACTACACTTTGAGAAATGCTGCTCAAACGCTATATAAGCAAATTACTTCGAATCATATTAAAATACAGTTGCTGACTCAGTATGTCCAGGGTAGAACGCTCAGGTAATGCTAATGGGGCTGAGCCATACTCTGAACAGTAAAGTACTAGGAAATCCATGCCTATACCTCTGAATCAAGCTTTTGGTAACTTTTAAAAAGTTTCTATAGGAGGGGCCAGCAAGTGAAGTGGTGGATAAAGTACTAGACTCCTACCTGGTTGCCTCCCCAATTAAAGTCCTAGGCCCAGCAGCTTGAGAAATATACCAGACATATGTGCGTATGTGCCCCAAATCCCAAGAGGAGAATGGAGAAGAGATTAGGCCCCCTGGGGGTGATTTCTCACTTCCCCTCCCTGTCTGTCTCTCAGCTTGCATATGCGCCCTATAGCAAATGTTATAAAAAGTTCCAGAGAAACGAAATGGGTGAATCAGCTATTTCCAGTATATGTAGACGTAGAGACTATATTTGGCACTAAAACATGTCAGGAATAAGGACCAGGAGGGGCTCCCCTAAGGCAATACAACATCACAGCATGGAAAAACAAATTCATAGCTGAATGCTGAAAGCTCTTAGATTGGCTAAGTCTCTGCCAGCATTGTTCCAACTCCGCTTTAGAATGAGAAATTTTGGGGTTTTTTGGTTTTTTTTTGTTACAGGGTATGTGCGCTCACCAGAAAGACAGAGAGACAGAAAGCAAGAAATCTTCCCCTAGAGGGGATAGCCACACCATAATCCCTTCTCCTCCATTCTCCTCTCGGGATCTTGGGCACGCACACACATGTGCCTGGTGTCCAGGACTCAAACCGCGGTCGACTACATGGGAGTCCAACAACATAGCCATTACGCCAACTGCTGGTCCCGAATTACTGCTGTCTTTTACCCTCTGATATGTATCTCTTTTTTCTACTAGGTACTTATTTTATAACAATTTATAAAAGGTTATATACCATAGCAGGAAAGGACTCAGCAAGATGAGGCTAGAAACTGAAGCTTGTATTGTAAATATTAGATAGTTGGCAGTGAGTCAACCTATTTATGCAGACTCTGAATACAACCATGCTATTGGTATTAGAGGTGGTCCTTGGGCTCAGCTGCAGTGGCATAGGCAGTGGGGCACCACTGCATGATAACTGGAGCCATGGCACATGGGAGGCCCAGGTTTGGATCCCGGGTCAGTATGAACATGCCAGATATAGACATCTACAACTGTGATCCTATCAGAGGTACCTCTCCTCAACACACTAAAAAAGTAACATTTTGATGCACTATTAGGGAACTCTGAGAATGAGTTAAATATTTTTTCTAAGCCTTCTTCTAAGCTAAATTACTCATCATGAAATAGGATTCACAATTAAAATTAATTCTATTATAAGTTTCTTATTTTTCCAAGCATTAAAAAATTTATATGAGGGCCAGCAGGTGGCATGGTAGTTAAAGGCACTGGATTCCCACATGGCTGACTGCGGTTTGAGTCTTAGACCTGGTGGTTTGCTTTCTCACTTTTCTCTCTCTCCCCCTCTAGTGCACAGACTCTATAGCAAATTAAAAAATAATACAATTAAATATTGTTCCCTCTCTAGTCAAATAAAAACTAAGTAAATAAATAAAGTTAAATAATTACTCAAAAAAATTTTTTTACATACATTTTCAGAATTTTGGAAAAGTTCACTTTGCAGCAGTTGAAGAGCAGATGGTCTCTGGGAAGAGTTCCTTCTAGTTAAGTGCTGGATATACTTGGCTTGCACGGGACATCTCTTACTGACAGCATCAGGTATCTGACCAGTTCGTAAGCCTGTGAGAACTTCTGCTCGCTCCATTTCTGTTCCAAATGGCTGAAAGAGCTCTAGCAGGATCACACCCAAGCTATACATATCTGACTAGAAAAAGAAAAAAGAGCAAGTGAGGGGAAGAGTATTCAGTCGTGAAATACCAAGTCAGAATAACAATTCCATTTCAATGTACCATCTTCTCAAGCAAGAGATCATTTCTATGAAGAATTCAGTCACCTACGATGAAGAGAACACAGCAGGATAGCCCAAATCTGAGTCAGGTGTCACCTTACTAAGACAAGAGGATCAGGGGACCAGGAGATGGTGTAATGGCTATGTCCCTGGACTCCCACGCAGTCGACCATGTTTGAGTCCCAGACCCAGTGGCTTAAACTCATGCCGGGCACGTGTGTGTGCATGCCCAAGATCCTGAGAGAAGAGAAGGGATTGTGGCATGGCCATCCCCCCAGTGGGTGATTTCTCGATTTCTTTCTCTCTTTCTGGTGAGCACACACGTGACCCCATAGCAAAAACTTCTATTAAAAATAAATAAATAAAAAATAAAGAGCAAGAGAGGATGGGATTGTCACAACCCCATTTCTGAATACCAGAAAGGGCCATTCCTTGGCACAAAGACTCAATAGGTAGGTGGAGGACAGGGATAGTCTTCCACCACCCACAGCAGTCACAATCACACAATTGTACTCACCATCCCTTAACAATCCATGTATGACAGAAGTAGAGGGATATGAGCTTATATCCTCTTTGTGCTTAACTACAGGGGAGCCACAGAGTGTCACCAGAAACTCTTCCAGTCTCACCTCTGCCTCTACTCATCATTAAGCATTCTTGATAATGTTTAACAAAATCTGCATAAAATCTGTGCTGCTTTTCCTAAAGGTCGTTTTTCTGGGAAGGTCTTTACTGGATAGGATTTTACAGGCAGCTGCAGTTTTCAGCAACTCTTTCTCATTGGCTAAAAAACTGAATTAAGGGACCAGCAGATGGCATAATGGCTATGTTACTGGACTCCCATGTAGTCAAGTGCGGTTCAAGTCCCAGACCTGGTGGCTTAAACTCACACCAGGCATGTGTGCGTGCGTGCCCAAGATCCTGAGAGGAGAATGAAGGAGAAGGGACTGTGTCATGGCCATCCCCCTGGGGGGTCATTTCTCACTTTCTGTCTCTCTACCTATCTCTGTCTTTGTGGTGAATACACGCACCCTATAGCAAAACCTTTCCAAAAGAAAAAAAAATTAAAACCTGAATAATTATGAAAAGGAAGAAAATTTACTAAGATTGTTCTAAGAAAGGGATTTTACTTCAATGTTTCTCTCTCTCTTTTTTCTTTTCTTCAGAGAGAAAGAGGGAATGTGAGAAAGCACCTCTATGGGGAATGGCCATGCCACAATCCCTTCTCTTGGGATTTTGGACACTATGTACATGCTCCCAGCATGTTTTTCAAGCCACTGGGTGCAGGACTCAAACCACACAACCAGCCATGTAGGATCCAGCCACCCACTGCCCTAACCACCATAACACCAGAGACCCCTTTAACATTTCTTAAAGGAAAAATGGAGATTTAAACTTTACAATATCTTCGTTCTATTTCAAAGGGAGTCAAATGGCAGGCTTCCCCGTAGCATATATTTATCTGGGCTTGGAAACAGAATGAGAGGCTTTTCTAGCTTCCTGAGGTAAATAGTGATGTCTTAAAGGGAAAGCTCATTTCAGAGTGATTTGTGGGGCCAGAGAGTGGTGCATCAGTAAAACACAATGCTATGCAAGAGAGACCTACAAAGGAAGGTTGCCAAGGGGCCGGCATGTGGCATAGTAGTTAAGGCACTAGACTCCCACATGGCTGACCATGGTTCAAGCCCCAGAACTGGCAGCTTGCTTTCTCACGTTCCCTTACGCTCTCTCTCTCTGTGTCTCTCTCTGTATATTAAAAATAATAATGATAATAAAATAAAATAAATAATTTGAAAAAAGAAAAGAAAAGAAAAGTTGCCAGTTTGTAGTCAGACACTTTCCTGAGTTTGCCACGCACACATGTGACAGTGATCTGGGACAGCAGAGGCTAGGAAACAGAATGCAGCATCAAGACTCTCTTAATGGTGTTATATCTCTGTCTCTATATCTCTCACTCATATGATAAACTAAAAAAAAAGAATTATGGAATCCACAGAGTTAGACATATCACCATAATAGGCAATGTAATCAGATTTAGTTGAAAAGTAAGAGTTCTTGGGATATCCTCATGTCTAGTGGTTAACGAGCCAGATTCCATATGGCTTACCTCAGTTCGAATCTTAGACCTAGTGGCTTAAAAAGCACTCCAGATGCATGTACACGCATACCCCAAATCTCAACAGAATAGGAAAATAGAAGAAAAGGGATTGCAGCGTGACTATCCCACTAGGGAATGCTTTCTTCCTCCCCCTCTGACAATTTTTTAAAAAGAAGAGTAAGGCTTTCTTTTTTTAAAAAACGTTTTTGCCATAGGGCACATGTGCTTGTCAGAGAAACAGACAGTGAGAGGGAAAGTGAGAAATCAGTCCCCAAGGAGGATGACTATGCCACAATCCCTTCTCAAACTCCATTCTTTTCCTGAGATTTTGGGTACGCACATGTGTGCCCGGTGTAAGTTTCAAGCCACTCACTGGGTCTAGGATTCAAACCATAGTTAGCTATCTGGGAGTCCAGTGCCTTAACCACACCACCTGCTGGCCCCAAGTAAGGCTTCTTAATAGGACAGTCTGATGCTACAGGTAGCCGATAGTACTCAGTTATTTCCAAAACACTTCTAACAATAACACCTCTACATTTACTGTACTGTTTGTTATTTACCATTGCAGAATAAGTTGGGTAAATAAAAAGCAATACTACCTTAGCATCATACTCCGATCCTTCCAACTGCTCAGGGGAAGCATACAGACAAGTACCCACCCTGGAAGTATGTGTTGGTGTTCCTATAATTTAAAAAGTCACAAGTTAAACATTGCAATATTAACTGTCAATATTAAAGAACATTTGCTATGGGTATTTACTATGAACAGAGCACTGTCACTCCTAAGAGAACAACAGTTGCTTTCTGTCTTTACCTCACTTTTGCTATTAAAGCTTTATAATACCCTTTACAATAATAACAAGTTCGACCATGTTTTTCTTTGCATGCAAAAAATAAAATAAAATAAAATAAAAAACAAAAAAACTTACTCTTTCCATTCCTACTGGTCCAGTCAGTGTTTTTCTGTATGATCTCTGTGCAGGCCAGGCCAAAATCTCCTATTTTCACTTGCTGATCAGGGCCATGAAGAAAAATATTTCTGGGCTATAAACAAACAGAACAAGTCAATTTATTGGTTTTCTCAAAACAAATAATAAAAACTTGTAAACATTAAGTTTTTAACTCAGGACCAAGTAGCCCCCTTAATATATAAAAATTTGTCCCAACAATGGAGATAGACACATCTTGATGCTACTACCCAGCAGGTAGAACGCCTGAGTTCTATTTCCAGCTCATCTAGAAAAGCTGGGTGTTATGGTGGGGCATGTCTGTAGTCTTAGCTACTTAGGAGGCTGAGGTAGAAGGATCAGGAGTTTATGGCCCGTGTGGGCAACTAGCAAGACCCTAACTGAAAAAGTTGGGTGAGGAAGTGCTTCCCAGCTACTCAGGAGGCTGAAGCAGGAAGATCATGATACAGAGAGGCCCAGTCTAAAACCTGATCACACACTACAATTAAAAATTTGAGCAGGGACCAGCAGGTGGCATGGTGATTAAGGCACTGGACTCCCACATGGCTAACCACGGTGAGTTCCAGATCTAGAGGCTTGTTTTCTCACTCCCCATGTCCCCGTCAAATTTTAAAATAACAACAATAAATAAAATGAAATAATTCCTTAAAAGAAAAAAAAGAGCAGGACCAGCAGTTAGCGTAATGGCTATGTCG